TTTGTTTTTATGTACATTTTTTTCACACATTTCTCTCATATTTAAATGGGGTCTACCAACACCACCACACCCCCCGCCCCAGCCCTGTGGGGGGGGGGAATTCTGGGAGTTGAAGTCCACTCATCTTAAAGTGGCCAAGTTTGGACAACACTGCTTTAGATAAACCCAGGAACTTGGAAAGCAATTAAGTTAAAATCTGACAACAGTATCTTGTAGGACAATACAAAGATACACCTGTACGAATATTGCTGAATACAATGTAAGACAGAAAAGGAAACGCAAGATAGCTAGAACCATTCCTGGGTCAGGACAATTTGTGACTCCGCATTGATAGGGGGACATTATTATATGTTATTTTTATTACTTTTTTCCTACTCGCATAATATATTAAAACAAGAAAACATGTCTAAAGATGCTCATTCTATTGAAACAGCTTCTATATTAATTAGCTAAATAAATAAAATCCATGAATGAACTATGTCCATACACACACCCCGGATAGAAGAGCAAAGGCTCAGGGACAGATACTGAACTTTTATTGTGCTAAAACATCTCTGGGCGAGAACCTGATCCTGTCATTACTATAGGCAAGCAACATCACAAAACACATAATTATTCTGGTATTATTTGGTGCATTTTGTTATATTCCTCAAGACTGGCTCTGGCCTCAAAACTCCTCATGGAATAAGCAATTAGGATTTGTTTTATCAATACTAAATGATATAGTGGTACTTGAAAATTATCTGATGTAAGCACTTTTCTTGATAGGTAAGAAAGTTTGTTTCTGGTAAAAAAAAGCCAAACTATCAGTGACAAACCATATCCATCATGGCAGCCACCTCTATATATTGCCAACCTATTTTTGTCACTTCTCCAGACAATCACAACTGCACCAACAATAACACAGATAATAATACAGTGGTACCTCGAGTCACAAACCCTTCTGTTCACGACCAATTCGGGTCACGAACAGCTCCGTTCGCAAAATTTTGCTTCCATCCGCGAACTCCGCATCGGGGATTTCTCTCATTAGATGAATAGTGACCCTAGAATGGAACTAGCAAGAGTTAATGAGAGAAATCTTAGCATGAACCATTATTTCTTGCAAAGTGAGGCATTGCAGAAGAATAGAGTGTAATGAGAGAAATCTTAGCATGAACCATTATTTCTTGCAAAGTGAGGCATTGCAGAAGAATAGAGTGCATATTTTTGTGGTTTAAAAAAAAAAAATACATATGGTTCAGAACAGATTAACCATAATTACATTGAACCTTATGGGAAAATTTGATTCGGGTCGCGGAACAAATTAAGTTCATGACCTGAAGTACCACTGTACTGTAAGCAAGTTTGACATCGATAAACCATATCTCACAAGAATAGCAAGGCATAAAGGTTTTCAGCACATAGCAAGTTTCTTTCAAAAGCATATCTACTTGCATAAAGACCAGAGAAATATCACTCTATTCTTCTGCAATGCCTCACTTTGCAAGAAATAATGGTTCATGCTAAGATTTCTCTCATTAGATGAATAGTGACCCTAGAATGGAACTAGCAAGAATTGTAGCATTCCTAATTTCTAAAGAGGAAGGCACCATTTCAACAATTCCAGATGTACTTCTGTAAATACAAAGTACTTATAAATATAAATATAAAGTAAATATAAAGTACTTCACAAGAAGAGCAAGACTAGCTACTGAGTATTTGGAAAAGAATTCCAACAATACAGCAGATTAACAGTGGAACTAATTACCACAGTGTTTCTCAACCTTGGCATCTTTAAGATATGTGGACTTCAACTCCCAGAATTCCCCAGCCAGCATGCCTCAAGCAGGGTGTTGGATTTGATGGCCTAAATGGCCCTGTCCAACTCTACAATTCTATTCAATCCTGCACTGAATCCTGGAGGTTCTTGGCAAAGAGATTCACTAGATTGAATTACAAAACACTGCTCTTCGATTAGGCTTTTAGAAACCTGCATTGCTGATAATGTCTGAAGTTACCTTTCTGACACCTAGTGTAGGCTATCATTACATCACTTTATTCCAACAGAAACCCATGAACCATTCACAAACAGCCAGAACAGCTGCAGCCAACTCACTCATGAAATCCAAGCAAAACGGGGGGAAAAGCCAGTGGGGCAAAAATGTAATGCTCCTATCAGTCTGTCAAGCCCTGCAAGGCTAGCAAACTCAGGAAACAAGAAATCCTTGAATTTCTGGGAAGATCTTTACTGTTAACAGGGTAATGCAACAGAATCTCGAAAGCCTGATCAAACAATTTTCCAGATCAACCTATATCTAGCAGAGTTACTCCTGAGTCTTTTTCTCATACTTCCTCACCTCCACAGAGCTGAGATGTTTCTTTTGCAACGCTCTTGTTCCCAGAGCCTGCTAGACATTTCATCATATACTCATATGGAAAATGGACAGAAAGAATTAAAGTCCTTTCCTTCGTGCAAGTAGCTTCCATAGATATAGCTTCTAATTCATTATTAATTGCAGCACTAGATAATTGCTGAACATTTTTACATGACCTCTGTAAACATTTCTTAATGAGTTTTTAGACATTATACCAATTGTCCATGTTTAATTGGAAGAGGAAAAGACTATATTTTTCATTCCACCCATTTAAAAAAAAAAAATCTGCTTTTTAAAGCATTCTCAGAAGGAAGATAGGAAATATACAGTTAGCAACAAAAATTTAAAAATTAACTTTACATCTTCACAAAATGGCACAGAAGTAAGAAAAGGGGCAAAAGATTACACATCTTATAAACAATTACATTTTTACAAGTCTGCAACACCTACTTATAAGTCTATATAAGTACAATAGTAACAGAAACAAATAAGCATTCTCCAGCACTAATTATGATTTCCTTACAGCTGACCAGTTGAGAAAGGACCTAAGGACTGTGTATAAGTCAAAAACAAATGTGCAGTCAATCAAACTAACCCAAAGGTGGTCCAAGCAAGATCATTAGAACGAATTTAAATATTGACCAAAAGCATTAGAATGCTAAACCAAAGAACTTGCAAATCTTGAGCTAATTCTACATGTCCTCAGTCCCTATCAAAATCCTACGTATGAGATCAGTTCAGACCTCTAGTAAGAGTTTCCCTTCTCTATAGCCTGCTGCTTGAAACAGTAAAAAGTGGAATCAAAGACAGAAAAAAGGAAATGTTGGAGAATGAATGTCCCCACTCATTCTGTTTCCACCCACTCTTTACTTTAGCCACCACCATGGAGTCCCCAGCATGGCCCTGAACACCAAAAGGTGCCTACTCTCGGCCTTAGTAGAATATCACCCAATGAAGTAGATTCCTCTGCTTCTAGTTTTGGAAGCATTTGCTTCTGTTTTAGATTAGCCACAATTTGCCATCTATACAAACATAATAAACTGTCTTGATTTTGAAACAAGTCAACTTCAAAAAAGTGGGGTTTTTTTTCAAGTTTAGATGAAAAGGTAAGCAGTGACTAATCTGAAATGAATAGAAGTACAGGCAGTCATTGACTTACAACAGCAATTAGGACTGGGATTGCCGTTGCTAAGCGATGCAGTTGTAAAGAACATCACATGACTGCATCGCTTAGCGACAGCAATCCAGGCAGTCCTGGTTGCTGTCATAACCCTGAGACACACAGATTGTTAAGCAGGAAGCAGCAAGAGTCCCAGGTAAGGAGCGTGGGGGTGTCACAGGAGGGTGGGGGAGGCTCGGGGAGGCTCGGTGCAGGCCATGCACAAGTTGGGGGAGAGGGCTGCTGCAGAGTGGCACAAGTGCAGGAAGGGCAGGGGAAGGAGGGCACAGTACGTGCGAGTGAAGGGGGGAAGGAGGGCACACTGCAAGCAAAGAGGGGAGGAGAGCATGCTGTGTGTGAGTGAAGGGGGGCAGGAGGGCACAGTGCATGCAAGCAAACAGGGAAGGAAGGCCCAGTGCATGCGAGCGAAGAAAGGCGGGGGGGGTAATGAGGCTTACCTGAGCAACCTGCGACCTTCCCTGCTGGCTTTTCTATTGACTTTGCTTGTGGGAAGCCAGCAGGAAAGGTCATAAATGGCGATGATATGACC